TTAAAGTTCTATATTTATTCCTGGGAAATTAAATCGTAACTTCCCATGAGTCTCAGCAGCCATGGAAATGCTGGAAAAAACTGCTTTTTCAGAGCAGACACGAACCACTGTTTGCAGATTTGCTCACAAACAAAACTGGTGTTCATAATGATGTGTTTTAAGTAGGGATGTAACGATATATCGAATATCGCGGTAAATAGATGTCTCAATACCGTCGTGAGACTGACAAAATCTACCGCGATTTAAAAAAGAAACGTTTCATTTATTTATTTTATTTTTATATATATATTTTTAAAAACCTTTATTTAACCAGATGGTCCCATTGAGATCATCAATCTCTTTTTCAAGGGAGACCTGTCCAACATGGCAGCAAGTAGGTTACAACATGAACATAAAACAACAGATAGAACCTCTTCTATCATGTGTCCCCTCTTCTTCATGTCTCTTCTACATCAACATGTGTCCCCTCTTCTTCATGTCTCTTCTACATCAACATGTGTCCCCTCTTCTTCATGTCTCTTTACATCAACATGTGTCCCCTCTTCTTCATGTCTCTTTACATCAACATGTGTCCCCTCTTCTTCATGTCTCTTCTACATCAACATGTGTCCCCTCTTCTTCATGTCTCTTCTACATCAACATGTGTCCCCTCTTCTTCATGTCTCTTCTACATCAACATGTGTCCCCTCTTCTTCATGTCTCTTCTACATCAACATGTGTCCCCTCTTCTTCATGTCTCTTCTACATCAACATGTGTCCCCTCTTCTTCATGTCTCTTCTACATCAACATGTGTCCCCTCTTCTTCATGTCTCTTCTACATCAACATGTGTCCCCTCTTCTTCATGTCTCTTCTACATCAACATGTGTCCCCTCTTCTTCATGTCTCTTCTACATCAACATGTGTCCCCTCTTCTTCATGTCTCTTCTTACATCAACATGTGTCCCCTCTTCTTCATGTCTCTTCTACATCAACATGTGTCCCCTCTTCTTCATGTCTCCTCTACATCAACATGTGTCCCCTCTTCTTCATGTCTCTTCTACATCAACATGTGTCCCCTCTTCTTCATGTCTCTTCTACAAAAGGACATCGTATTTACAGGGCTACATGTACACACCTAGAGACATTGACAAGTACCAACAGTATATTTATATCTCTGTCAATAAGCCTCACCTTCTTGGCAAAAACTGTATTGTTGTTGAAGTGGTGGAGAGACAATGCACAGTTTGACCCACTGCTGTCACCCATGGCCAAAGCATATCTCTCTGTCCCAGCAACGTCAGTACCAAGCAAGAGAGTTTTTTCCACAGCAGGGGATATTGTAAACGCCCAAACATCCCAGCTTCTACCTGGAAATGTGGACATGCTCATATTCCTCAAAGATAACCTGTCTGACGCTGAGTGAGTGAGTGAGTGAGTGAGTGAGTGAGTGAGTGAGTGAGTGAGTGAGTGAGTGAGTGAGTGAGTGAGTTAGAGTTGAGTTACTTGAAAAACTAAAGTGAAACTTGATTTACTCTATTGCAGGGTCTGATTATTAAATTGTTGACACTTTAAAATACTACTATCCTACTAAAATGCTGTATAAATCAGGTTTATTATTTAATAAAGGAAAAAATATATATATCGTACCGTGAGTTTTTGGTATCGTTACATCCCTAGTTTTAAGTAAGTTATGTTGGATTATGCAGGATGTCACCACCTGCTTTAATTGAGCATCTGTAGACACGTGTCAGGCATGTTGTCTTATGTGCATCCAGTGTTCAGGCTGAGGGAGGAGAGAGTGCTACTATTTCAGTGCCGCTCATTTCCCTCCTCCACACACTTAGACAGATGGTCTCGAGGTTTACTCGGGGTGGAAGAAGGCAAGAAATAGAATTGCAAATAGCTTTGCTCAAATTATTCTAAACTGGTGGAGCTCATTCCTAAACCCTTCATTTAACCAAGTTCAGAGTCTGCAGACATGTGAGGGTTTACTCAGGCTGCACTACGCCCCCTTGTGGCTGCTTGTGGTAAACATGTTCATGTGTATAAGGTACTGTATGTAGACATAAACAAGTATGGACAATTTAAAACTCAGACATGATGATGGTGCTTAAGGAAAGGTCAGGGGATCAAAGCTTTTGCAATTTTCTGTTAAACCCATGTTATGGATGTCTGACCTAAATGGCATGGTCATACATCCAATAATTGATTAAGTCCATTTATGGTGGTGCTAGATAGAGATCAAGTCAAGAAACCATTTAAATCTTTAGGACTAGCAATCATGGACGTCTGTAAGTAAAGTCATGGCAATCTTTCCAATAATTGGCTAGAAAAATAATCTGATTTAATTGACAGTGTTGGACCAAGAGAACAATCCCCATCCCTACAGCCACACCCAGAGGTGGAGTGGAGTACTCAGATCCTACTTAACCAAAAGTAAGAAAGTGTTAGCACCCAAATATACTTCAATTACCAACACTGAAATGCAGAATGGCAACTTTCTGAAAAATATGTGATACCACGGGATTATAATTGTGATATATTAATTTAAATAATTGTAATTTTGCAGCTAGTAAAGATGGAGCTCACCTTAATGAGTTTACACTGCCAGGTATCTATTGATATATAGATAAACATGATATGAACCTGCAAAGTAACTACTAACTAAAGCTACACAGATAAATGTAGTCGAGTAAAAAGTACAATATTTGCCTCCAAAATGTAGCGGTTAATGTAGCATGAAATGTAAAATACACAAACCACAACATTGTACTTGAATAAATGAACTTTCCACCACTGGATAAACCCTTAGTGTCGCCATTATGGCAACAAGATTGACTTTCAATAATAAAAACATTCCAAATCATTTCAAACAAAGTTGAAATTCTCAAAGAAAATCAACCAGGGTAATTCCAGGTCTTTTGTACCCTGTTCTGAGTGACGCTTTGTTGTAATCTGTCATTGTGAGAGCAAGTTGCTTTAGGTTGTGGAACATGCATGTACTCAGGTATGGTATGGAGGGCGAGGAATTTCTAAATTAAAGGCTAAGTTCACTTAAGTTACACACACGTTCAACCCCAATCCTGTAGGGTAAATGGTGGGTACGTGGATCACTGAACACAATCTGTGTCCTGCTCTCACACAGAGGGGAAGTACAGGGTGTTGGATTAGAGCCACATAGCTACATAAGCTTAGAGGTTTCATTACATATGTATATCTCTTATTCTACTTCCCCCGTGGATTTAGGAAGCTATTTTAATCAATCCTATGGTCCGGATTCTCTTTGTCTGTTGGTGCCCCGGGGGTGAGCAAGAGACACCTTAAAAGGTCCCCTATTTATACTGTTTTTCATCAATATATAACAGGTCTCAGATATATACAGAACCTGTCTCTGATTGGCTGAACACCAAACAGATCATAGCAGCATTACCCATAATCCCCTCTGTTTCAGCCCTGTTTCCAAAGTGCTGATTCTCAGTCTGTTACTTTAGATGAAAATAAGGAGCCCCTCCCCACGCCCCTCTGAGAGACATTTGGTTACAAAGAACTCAATGGTGCTCTAGAGGAGATTCAGGGTGATAAGGGGGGGGGGGTTACCTTGGTTGCTGATTGGCTAATGGTTACACAAGCCAATCGTTATGACATCATCAAGTGGCCAAAATCTGATCAGCTCATTTTCAGACTGGTTTTTATAGAAATGGATCAAAAAGAGAGAGAATCTTTGTTCCTGAAACTTTCAGAGTCTCTTTTCCACAGAGGGGACACATGTTGATGAGAAGAGACATGAGAAGAGGGACACATGTTGATGAAGAAGAGACCATGAAGAAGAGGGACACATGTTGATGTAGAAGAGACATGAAGAAGAGGGGACACATGTGATGTAGAAGAGACATGAAGTAGAGGGGACACATGTTGATGTAGAAGAGACATGAAGACACTTTGATGTAGAAGAGACATGAAAGGAACATGAGAGAGGGGACACATCCTGATGTAGAAGAGACATGAAGAAGAGGGGACACATACTTGATGTAGAAGAGACATGAAGAAGAGGGGACACATGTTGATAGTAAAAGAGACATGAAGAAGAGGGGACACATGTTGATATAGAAGAGACCATGAAGAAGAGGGGGACACATGTTGATGTAGAAGAGACATGAAGAAGAGGGGAACACATGTTGACTGTAGAAGAGACATGAAGAAGAGGGGACACATGTTGATGTAGAAGAGGACATGAGGAAGAGGGGACACATGTTGATGTAGAAGAGACATGAAGGAAGAGGGGACACATGCTGATGTAGAAGAGACTTGAAGAAGAGGGGACACATGCTTGATGTAGAAGAGACATGAAGAAGAGGGGACACATGTTGATGTAGAAGAGACATGAAGAAGAGGGGACACATGTTGATGTAGAAGAGACATGAAGGAAGAGGGGGACACATGCTTGATGTAGAAGAGACATGAAGAAGAGGGGACACATGTTGATGTAGAAGAGACATGAAGAAGAGGGGACACATGTTGATGTAGAAGAGACATGAAGAAGAGGGGACACATGTTGATGTAGAAGAGACATGGAGAAGAGGGGACACATGTTGATGTAGAAGAGACATGAAGAAGAGGGGACACATGTTGATGTAGAAGAGACATGAAGAAGAGGGGACACATGTTGATGTAGAAGAGACATGAAGAAGAGGGGACACATGTTGATGTAGAGGAGACATGGAGAAGAGGGGACACATGTTGATGTAGAAGAGACATGAAGAAGAGGGGACACATGTTGATGTAGAGGAGACATGGAGAAGAGGGGACACATGTTGATGTAGAAGAGACATGAAGAAGAGGGGACACATGTTGATGTAGAAGAGACATGAAGAAGAGGGGACACATGTTGATGAAGAAGAGACATGAAGAAGAGGGGACACATGTTGGTGTAGAAGAGACATGAAGAAGTGGACTTTGCATAATAGGTAACCTTTAAGCCAATCACAGCAGAGGAAAAGCAGCAAAGGTTTTGTGACTCACCGTTGATAACCGGGGTGTAAACCACGATGCCAGCCAGATTTGGGTCGGACACCGTTTTGTCCAGGATCAGCCCTCCGATGCTGCAGAACACAACAGAATTAAATCATTAGCTGGTGACAATCATTAAAGCGGTTTGAAAACAACAGCCATTGCTCAGATGAACAAGCTGTAGCAGTGTGGCACAGATGCTGAGGGAAGAACTGCAATTTGTCTAATTGTTTGTTCATTCATTTACAATGTTTTTAGACTAAATAAGATTATATTTGCTTTATTCATCCCAAATTGGAAAATTGCTTCGTCACAGCAGCAGAAAGTGAACACACATGAATTACAAATATCATAAAATATAATAACATTAAAGGTGGGGTAGGTAAGAATGGAGAAACCAGCTCGAGTGCGCTAGAATTTGAAAATACACAGCCGAAAAAAATCTGCCTCTTCCTTCAGACTTCCTTACAGAGCCCCTCCTCCAACACACACGAACATGACCAATGAGGGCACGAGATAAGTTTGTGCCCAGATGGAAGGCTGACAGGCAGGTAGGCCATCCAGTTACTTTAGCCGGGCCGGCTCAGAAGATTGGTCGAGCTTTTTACAGCGCCACGGCTTCCACTGATGACTTTTTGTATGGATTTAAGATATTCATTGCTATCGGGATGTTGAGAGCATTCCATGGAATATAACAAAAAGTGTTTCTGAAGTGAATTACATACCCCACCTTTAAGATAAACAGTAAATGTATAAATATCAAGTATTATTTATTTATTAATCTACTTATTTATTTTGTATTTATTTTTGTTTGTTCATGTTTGTCTTAGTGTTTTTTTATGTGATGGAGCATGAGGGACTTTTTTTTTTTATTAAAGATTCGCCTGAAGTCTCTGTGTTGAAAACGTTTGTCACGATGGATTCCTGGTCAAAAACCAAATCTACAAATAATTAAGCTGAAGCTCTTGAGTTTCAATTGATTTAAGCTTATGTCGTCCACAGAACATATCTCTATTGTTGTACTTAAAGGTGGGGGAGGTAAGTTTGAGAAACCGGCTTGAGATACACTTGTTATATTCCATGGAATACTCTTAACATCCCGATAGCAATGAATATCTGAAGTGCTTTGACAAAAAATCCATAAAAAGAATTTCATCTGTGGAAGCCGTGGCGCTGTAAAAAGCACGACCAATCATCTGAGCCGGCTAAAGTAACTGGACGGCCTACCTGCCTGTCAGCCTTCCATCGGGGCACAAACTGATCTCGTGCCCTCATTGGTCATGTGCGCGTTCGTGTGTGTTGGAGGAGGGGCTCTGTAAGGAAGTGGCAGATTTTTTCCGGCCGTGTATTTTCAAATTCTAGCGCACTCGAGCTGGTTTCTCAAACTTACCTACCCTACCTTTAATAATAATAATGATACTTATATAGCGCTTTTCAAAAAAACTCAGACGCTTTGACAGAGAATAACACAAAGGTTGCCTCTTGTAAGCTATGCACACACTTCAGAGAGGTTCTAATGGTCACTTCTCTATAAAAGATGGAGAAAGGTGGCATCATCCACACTTGAGTGTTCAGAAGCAAACAATCCCTTCGTACTGTCTGCCAGGCTGAAGGCTTTCCGAGGGTGCTGCAATTTGTTTTGGGGATGAGTCATCAAGCAAACCAGACACTTGGAGCTGCAGAATAGCTGTTCTTTCCCCTTTGAAGACCACACACACACACACACACACACACACACACACACACACACACACACACCACACACACACACACACACACACACACACACACACACACACACACACACACACACACATCACACACACACACACACACACACACACACACACACACACACACACACACACACACACACACACACACACACACACACACACACACACACACCACACACACACACACACACACACACACACACACACACACACACACACACACACACACACACACACACACACTACACACACACACACACACACACACACACACACACACACACACACACACACTACACACACACACACACACACACACACACACTACACACACACTACACACACACTACACACTGACTACACACACACACACACACTACACACACACACACACCTGCTAATGACCATGGCAGTGATGACTGGCTCCCATCCGGAGTACAGCAGGGTGCGGCTGGCCGGGTGTTTGGAGGAGATGACCATCCACAGAGGAGTCAGACACATGAAGAAGGCGCAGACCAGCGACGACACATACGGGTACGTATCTGTGGAAGAGGAGGAGGATATAAATGACTTTGTCTTGATTTATTTGTTTCCTTTTTTAAGTGCGAGCTTGGAGCCCATCCAAGCATGCCGTAGGGAATTGGTAGGGTAGAATGCATCATTGTTTAATGTTCACAAAATATAATAGCAGGGTATATGCAGGAATCCTGAAGTCAGATGTAAGACCTTTTTTAAGACCCTCTCCATACATTTTAAGACCTCATCGCCACTTAGAGTTTTAACCGGTTACCTTGGCGACACATTTTACCTCACATTGACTATATACAGTATTGATTGTCCTTCCTCCTTATCTTCTAACCATTTGGACGCAGACTTGCATTTCCCCATAACGATGTTGTTTAACAACCGGCGTAAACGGACCTTCGCGCGCTATCAAGCAGTGAGCGCGCGATGTCCTGTTCAGATGACGTCAAACCCAACGGGATGCCATCAATAAACTACACAGAATCACACTGCACACCTACGCAATGATTACATTCAGGCACACTGTAGAATACAACCTCTTTGGACCATTTATATACTTATTGAAAACAAGCTACAAAATGTAATACCTTTGGAAATGCCGTTTAATACTTTTCGCTAAATTGAATTATTAACTTTTAATACTTTTACCCTGAGTGTGTACAACATAAGGCGCTCTCTGTCCTTAGACCCTTGCAGTGTACAAGGAAGAAACCCCAGAATAAATTAGGAAAAGTTCCCAAAAAATCTGAATGCGTGACATTGACAGCAAATCAGACATTCAGTTAGCATTCACAGAAAAAGCTGTCTGTCAGCCACTCTAATGAATTTCTTCTACGGGTTGAAGTGTTTACATGACCCTCTGACACCCTGCATCGAGTGTCCCTACGGCCGGGAATAAACCAATAGACGACAATTGATATTCCTGTCCATCTCTGGTGGAATACGCTGAGCTTAAAGGCTCTGCCAGGAAACAGAACGGAGCCGCTGCCAACTCCTTCCTCGAGCTGAGCAACTGAGAGACGCTTGTTAATGCATGGGGAAGAAATGATGGTGGTGATAAGTAGTGCTAGCCTCCATGCTTCAAGACACAAGGGCATCCCATTCATACTTATATACAGGCAATATAAGATGAGTTTAAATAGTTTAATCATACTTAAGTTAAGTGAACTGGCACAGGCCCCTGATTTAAAGGTCACCTATCATCAGGGGTGCACATAACTTTTTTGCCCTGGGTCTCAAAGGAGCACCTGGAGATGTTGCTTGGTGCTCATCCTTAAAATGAAATAAACCGCGGGGGTCTTTATTTTCCAGACAAACGGCACTGAACACACAGAGGTGAACACAAGACAACATTAGCACGACCAGTAAACCTACAAGCTGTCATCACTACCCTCCTGACTGTAACAAATGAATGTAACTTATTTTATTTGTGTTGTTCATTCATATCTTATTTTACCTTAACATTTATTTATTTATGCATATTTTTTTATCTCCAGTTTAAAACGATAAGTCTGGTTTACTGTCCTATAGTATACATTGAAATGCATAGCATAGGACTCAGATATATACAAATATATATAAAACATGTCTATGAAGTGTTTTGCGCAAAATACCAAACAGATCAGCCATTCTAGCCATGCCTCATATCCCTCTATTTCACTTCCTGTTTCAAAAGTGCTGATTTGGGTATAAAGCTTTAAAAAATAATAAGAATTGATAAAAAAAAAAAGGAGGGGTCTGAGCTCACGCGGGACCCGGCAGCTACTGTCTAAACTAAATGCTGCCGTGATGAAACGCCATATCATGGATTATCAAGGATTCTCTCTGAAACAGTTTGGAGCTCAAAGGCTTTCTCTCTTGCCGGTTATACCACAAGGTGAGTTCCTTTTTACTTCCTGCTTCTTCACACACATGCTCTCCAGTACAGGTTAGCTCTGAGTGTTAGCGATGCTAATGTAAACACCGACCATATTACGTCCAAAACAGTCGGGCATTGTTTCTGATAGCAACGTTTCTGATTGGGCCGTGGGTCCACATTTCAGATATTACGTCATATCGGACGCAAATCTGGATCAGCTCCGTTGTAGCCCCGTTTTTAGAGATTTGGGTACGGAGGAAAAGAGAGAGGGTTTTATTTTCTGACGCTGCGTGAGTTCCCGACACACCGAGGACACATGTTGATGTATAAAAGACATCAAAAAGTGCATTTTGCATGATAGGTCCCCTTTAAATAAAGAAATTGTGGCAGGGTTTGTGATATCAGCAAATAACTAATCATTGTCCAAATAATCAATACATTATTATATAATTATGAATCTAGTGACTTACATCCCTAATTCTCAGGACGGATTTTGGTAAGTAACATCCAATTGCTAGGCTTTAGGCTAATCTAATCAATATTGTAATAATATTATAATTTAAAGGTCCCATGTCCTGCTTTTCCGGTTATCACCCGTCCCCTTGTGTGTTATGAAGGTTGTTCTGCATGTAAACGGTCTGCAGAGTCACAAACCCTCAAAGTACACCCTGTAGCGAGTAAAACTCTAACACAGAGAAGACCTGTCTGTGCTGCCCCAGAACGCCTCGTTGGACATTTCTCTTTTTCCATTTGTTTCTTCCCGGAACCAAAATGGACCAATCCGCAGAGCTCCTCACACACCAGGACCTTTATCGTACATTTTCAACTAACAGGGAGTCCCATTGACTTGCATAGAGCTCCCTGGTTGGTAATAGACGAGTTGAGATGGCGGAGAAATGCTCTCCGCAGACCCATTCTCACAGCGTTATAAACCTTTTTCTTTCTCAATATCAAGCCACACTTATTGTTTTTACTTCGGCTGTGAGTGTGTGTGTGCTCAGGATGAAAATTGATATTTTAGGGCTGTTGACAGTATTTTCTGATGTATGGAGTGATAAAAAGAGATATCCAAAATCCCTTCTGTAAAAACTTCAGATTCTAATATGACTACAAAATGAAACAAGAATTTCGAACCTGACTTTATCCGATGGTCAGAATTGTGTTCCTGAAATGTATTAAAATATGCGCATATTTAATGAGATTATGGCTAATTTCCATGGGGGGGGGGGGGTGCAGTGCCCCCACACATAGAATCCAATTATGTGGGAAACACTGGCTAATAATAATAATAATGGGAACCCCTGGTCTACATCATGCATTCACCTCTCCTGTGGTCAGCCCTGAAATGGCCCGGTGTTGCCACGTCCGCAGGCACACAGCAGCTTTGGCCCCGTTTCTTGGTGTCTCCGTCTCATTTGCTTTTATCTATTGTTGAGCCCTCTGACTGAAGCACTCTGAAACAGCAGTGTTTGTTAAAAGCATGTTATAAATAAACATGCCGGGGCTCGTGCAGCTCCTGCGTCTCGCCGCTGTCTCGTCTCCACTCAGCTTGAAGCATTAGAGGCATTAAGACCGTAGGAGCCATGATGTCAGAGTCGGATTTATGGTGAACATTTAATAAGGTTTCTGATTGTTTATATTTCTGGCACTGGTCTTAGTTTATGATACAGGTACTTATTATTTTGTGATCACTTATAGGTTGGGTTACATGGGTATGGGCGGCACTAATAAATATAATCACATTTCACCTGTGTGTGTGGAAGAGAGGGTCGCTGTATTTGATGTTGACCTTTTCATAGCTGGAATATCTGGAAAATATATATTTGTGCATCTTATAGTAAGTTGATCAGTTTTATTAAAGAATACGATTTTGTTCAACGCATTTTTGGATCCCAGCATTCATTTTTGATAAGACAAAGGCAACCTCAGCGACTTTGTTTCTTCCTGATGTCGCTACAAAGTTCTTATCTACATAGATAATCATGTGATTTAAATTCTGTGTATCTGACAGTTAGTCAGTTAGTTCTGATTCAGCAGGAAAGTGTTGGCTGGGTTGAAGGACAACAGAGCCAGTGTCCTGAGAGTGACACACAGCCACTCCGTGCACTGCCTCGCACGGAAATAGGAAATCCTCAGTGTGTGTAGTACATTTAGCTAACAGCGCTGAATTGCTTCTCTCATTGTGGTGAACATCTGGGTCGTACACTTATAGCAGACGGGGTTAGTTATTCTGAGAGTCTTTGCAGAGGATGAATGCTGAATGAATGAGGTGATACAAGGTGGGTCTGGGTGTGTGAGATGAATCTAACGTTAGGAATGTGAAGTGAGAGGAGAAGAGACGGTCTGTTCTGTTCACAGGAGTGAGGCGCTGCTAAAGAGTGAGGCGGGGGTGACCTCTGCAGGCCGACTGAGGGAAGAGCCTCCCTGCAAGGCAAAGGTCTGGGATGAATGCCTTTTTTAAATGAGAGAAGACGGACCTGATGGAGTGAACTCGTAAAATGCAGCTGTACCCAAGAATAAAGGACTGCACGAAATAAAAACTATTAAATCTGTGTCTGTGTCTTTGTACATACGATCAGTACAGACCATCGTCTCATCTGTATGCATATATTTTTCTTTCCACTTCTAAATGACAAACATTACTTATGCATTGTCGAAAGTCGCAATAAAAAGATTTTTGATCAGAAATCTGTGTCAAACCAACTATTGACAAACTTTCTGCTCAAAAAACCCAAAATGAAGTTAAAAGCTTCACATATATTGTAAATCAGAAGGACAATCTCTAAAGTAATCTCAATTTTTTGGGGGGAAAACGCGATCATCACATCCTGATGGAGCTAAAGCAGGGTATATGCAGGAACCCTGAAGTCACATGTAAAACCTATTAAGACCTTTTTTAAGACCCTCTCCATACATTTTAAGACCTCATCGCCACTTTGAGTTTTAACCGGTTACCTTGGCGACACACTTTACCTCACATTGACTATATACAGTATTGATTGTCCTTCCTCCTTATCTTCCAACCATTTGGACGCAGACTTGCATTTCCCCATAACGATGTTGTTTAACAACCGGCGTAAACGGACCTTCGCGCTATCAAGCAGTGAGCGTGCGATGTCCTGTTCAGATGACGTCAAACCCAACGGGATGCCATCAATAAACTACACAGAATCACACTACACACCTACGCCATGATTACATTCAGGCAGACTGTAGAATACAACCTCTTTGGACACTTTATATACTTATTGAAAACAAGCTACAAAATGTAAAACCTTGGAAAATGCTGTTTAATACTTTTAATAGCCTTCATTTTCTCTAAATTGATTTATCAACTTTTAATACTTTTTAAGACCCCGCGCCGGACACCCTGTAAAGCCGTTGACTTCAGCAGTTTCTTTTAAAGGTAGAAGCAGGTCAAGGCAAAGGTCTGGGATGAATGCCATTTTTAAATGAGAGAAGACGGACCTGATGAAGTGTACTCGCAAAATGCAGCTGTAACCCAGAATAAAGACAATTCAATCTGTGTCAAACCAACTATTGACAAACATTCTGCGCAAAAAAACCCAAAATGAAGTTAAAAGCTTCACATATCTTGTAAATTATGTAAATCAGAAGGATAATCTTTAAAGTAATCTCTATTTCTTCAGCAAACGCCGTCAACAGACTTGCAGAGACGCCCCTCCTGATGGAGCTATAGGTAGAAGCAGGTCACCTACCCAGGCACTTGTAGAGGCCCTGGCTGATCCAGGCCAGGATCGCCAGAGTTATGAGGTCACCAAAGCTGGCGGCGATGGGGGTGGCGACGTTGTCTGGGTTGATGCCCGTCTTCTTGGAACCCACAATGACCCCGACCATGATGAAACCTGAACAGGACACAACAAGAGTGGGGACTTACAGAGGAAGAGCAAACTCACTGAATGTTATACTTATTTTATTGTAATTTTAGTCATTTATGTATTATTATTTTGTATAAGTATGTACAAATATATATTTATATTTGTTGGTATTAAGTGTACTTTTTAAATCACAAAGCTATGTATTACCTGGAAAGGGAGAGATTTGTTTGTATTTGTAAATTGTGTATGTGTCTGGTTTGTGAAGCACTTTGAGTTACCTTAGTGTATGAAAAGTGCTAAATAAATACATTTCATTTGACTAAATTATTTAAATTAACTTAAATGTACACGACACAAAGACAGTTTGGGAGGAGGACCGCAGTGTCACAGCTTTTCCACAGCGACAGAATCAACAGTTTACTTTATGATGTTGGAACAGCTGCACACACACACACACACACACACACACACACACACACACACACACACACACACACCACACACACACACACACACACACCACACACACACACACACACACACACACACACACACACACACACACACACACACACACACACACACACACACACACACACACACACACACACACACACACACACACACACACACACACAATTTCATGGCTCCTACAACAGCTGTCTCTGCGTGCTTGTGTGTGTTTACCCTGCAGCATGGAGGCTATAAAGGCCGTGGCCACGCTGCTGGAGCACAGCAGCACCGCGTGGCTCATCTGGAACTTCCCCTCTGGGATCCAGCCGAGGGTCACGGCAGCGACGGCAGCCAGGAAGCCCACCACCGTGGCCTGGACCTGGGGGGATAGAAGAGGGAGGGGGAACGTTATCTAGTGGAGACAACAAGCACCCCTACATGTGTAAAAAAACAATTATAATGACTATTATTATAATTATCTTGATTATCAGTTTACATACAAATAGGATGAGAAATTAAACTGTTATCTGAACATGGACTTGTATGAATTAATTTTGTTATTTGTTTTACTTTATGTTCACCCTGGAAATGGTTGTATGTATGTATATGTGTACATATGTATGTGTATGTATATATAGAATGTTATTTATCTGTGTGAGTATTTAATTACAGAATTATTTTTTCTTACTTTATCCTGCAACTGGACGACTAACTAAGCTCTGCATTCTGCCCTCCAGCTTCTACTACTTTTGTTTGTTTTTTGGATGTGTCAACTGTCTAATTGTTGAAATAGTAGAATAAATAATTAAAAATTTAAAAAAAAAACAGATTTAGGATTAGTAGAAGGGTTTCATTAGGGAGGTAATGTGACATGAATACTGTAATTAACACCATTAACTCCTTTACGTAACACTTCCTGCTGATGTGGGCGTTGTTGTGAAACACATTGCACCGACAGCTCAGCAAAACAATATGAAGTTACATGCGTCATTGTGTCTTTATCAGTGTGTGTGGGTGGGTAGATGATTAAAAGGGACGTTCTTACACAGACAGAGATCAATAAAACAGTCTCAGCGAACACCCACTTAGTTAGCATTACATGTGTATCGAGAATATTACAGACAGTTATAAAAACCATACACACTGGAATTAATGTATGTAAGATACATTAAGCCATTGTGTTTGATTATTCTCATCATCCGTAAAGCGTTTTCGAGCAACTGCTTTCATTTGAAAATGAAAATGGGATGGTGCATATTTTTTAAAAGCTAATCAAAAACACGACAATTGTGAATTAATTCAAATAAAATGTGGTTGTAGTATTTATCCAGGGATGTGCATATAAATAGTTGAGGGAACATTTGTGTTTACCTGCTTCAGGGCCAGGTTGCCTATGATTAGATTCCACTTCTCTATGGGGGAATCCATCTTGCCCACATTCACCTGTGTGGAAGCAAACATTCATTAGAAACTTTCACTTTTCTATGCCTGCATATAAATTAGGGATGGGAATTTGAAAGCAAATGTATATTCGACCCCCAAAAAAACGGTTAACCGATTAACTGAAATGTACATATCCTATAAAAAACAAAAAAATTGGGAAAAATGTTGACAAAAAAACAAAAATAATTATATATAATAAATACATGTTCAAATAAGTAAAGAAACCAAGTCGAATTTGTCAAATGTATTGAACTGGTGATCACAGTTTGAACAGTTGACAGCTATACGCCTACAGCTTTCATGCTCAAAACATAACTTGGTTTTTAAATGAAAGAGGGATCAGACACCAACAACATAACGGGTTAGGGTAACGTAACTCGTGACAACAGAGATCAACAACCTATAACAGGGCCTATGCACAGAATGCAATACTCATTCTTGTTTAACCAGTTAAGCCCTGAGCCTGTTTTTCAGGTTTCAGGCTCGAAAATGCCACTAACACAACAAATGATATATTTTCACTTCTAAAAGGGGTAAATTAATAATTATTTTTCTCAAAGCAAGGTTACATCTGTGAGTTGGATGTAGAAGTGTCAGAATCAATATAGATGTTTTTATTTTAAATTAAATTCAGATGGAACATAGTAAAAACATGTAAATTCTAATGTCCACCTAAAAAAAATATTATATAACATATAATAAGTACCCTGTATCAAGATTGATGCAAAACAAGTGAAATTTGACCTTTTTAGAGAGATTTAGAAAAATAAAGTCCAAGCGGACTCACCTCTGGGTAATTTGGGAACCATCGGTTCCATTTGAACTTTTTCACTGTAAAAATCATTTTATTACTTTGAATTATCACTATAGGTATTCATTCCATCCAAATACAACTGTTGTGAAAAAAATAAAAAAATAAAAAAACATAAAACATAAAAAAAATAAAACATCTGTTATCCTCTGAATTAGCCCCGAGCGAAAGATGCTAACCTATTAGTGCACCGAAAATCACTCCTCGCTCCCTTATTACTTATCCTAGCTGCACATCCAACACATCGTTTATGATCGCAAGGAGACACAGAATCTAACGGTGCCCAAATTCGCGACGTTATCAACAAAAACGTACATCAAAACAAGTGGTACTAACATGCGCTAGGCCAAGGGTGCCCAACCAGTCGATCGCGATCGACCGGTCGATCGCGGGGAGATTCCCAGTCGATCGCGAGATGTGTCTAAAAATAGAACAACAATATTCAGTTTTATCGTTAATGTCCTATAACATAATCTTCCTGTGCCAGAATAATGCACTTGAACGCATCAAAGCTTTGTGATTGGCCGGCGTGACCCCATGTGTCGGGGCGTGGCTGGTGGGCAGTGGGCAGTGCACTAGTTCGCTAACGTTTAGGGGTGGGCGATACCACAAAATCTGGATTCGATCCGATACCAAGTATTTCAGGGCTTGTATCGCCGATACCGATACTTTTTTTTAATGAAAAGCGTCTTATGTACTTTCATATAGGGGAGAGCTGCATGACATGATTTTTGAGCTGAAATCATCATAAATAGACTAAATCTGAATTCATTTTCATGAATAAAGACAGGACAGTTTTTATAGACAAATACACGTTTTACTTTTGCAAATTTAAAGTGCAAACATGAAAAATAACAATACAAAGTGGCCAAAGTAGCGAACTGTCTTCTTGCACACATCACAGTTCGCTAAGTTTTAATGGCCAGTTGTGAAATTGCTCCACACAACGCTGCTCTTTCTCTCAGCCATCATGCGCGTGTGTGTGTTGCACTCGCGAGTCGCTGGCTGCTGCTGTCCTGCCCTGCTGGCTGCTGTCAGTCAGCTTGATAATCGGCGTTCAGGCAGGGAGCCTCGAGGAGAAGAGGACAGCAGTGGAGAGAGAAGAAAAGAGCATACACTTGTGTTCGTCTGCACATAGTTTTTTGAAGAAATTGACGAGTAGAGGAGACGAGAAAAAAAGTATAACAGTATCGATCCTATTGGCTCTAGTATCGATATTTTGAAACGTAACGTAATATCGGAGGTATCGATATTTTGGGATCGATCCGCCCACCCCTACTAACGTTGTCCGTGTCAACACCAGGAGTGACAGTCCGCACACACACAAGACCGCAATTATGGCAGAAGCAAAACATATATAATTTTCACTCCGAGTGGGAGGATGATTATTTTTGTATCTATTCCAATTCAAAGTCCATCTGTCTCATCTTCAATGCGAGCGTGGCTTTATCGAAGAAGGGTAATTTAGGAGCGGCATTTCAATACAGTGCACAAACGCTACGAGACGGAATTCCCTCCTAATTCTACCCTACGCTCCAAAAGGGGAGGGGCCTGAGAGGACAGCTAAATGCACAGCAGTCCATTTTCACCAGGCCCAACAACAAGAGCAAGGCTGCTACCAGAGCATCTTAACGTGTCAGTCACGTTCTTGCGTAACACATGAAGTCTTTCAAAGACGGCGAAGTTGTGAAAGAAGCATTCCTGGAGGCTGCCGATGCGTAATAAAAATAACAGTAGCATTTTCAACAGGTTTTTGATATGATAAAAACTCAAGTTATATACCGTTATTAATCAGCTGTAAGTTTGAGTTTGTTTGAACTTATTCATTTATAATTATTGTACAAAATGGTATAAGAATGCAAACTTAAATTGATTATAATCTATTATCAATTCAGGTTAAGAAACTAGTGTTGCTTGCATCCTATTTTAAAGGCATTTCTTTTTATAATCTACTAAAATGCAACAAAAAAAGGGTTTGATTCTATTAATTTTGTCTTTTTTATTGTGTAGCTTCAGATCTGAGTTGTCTTATTAGTAAGCCTAATTTATACTTTTGTAGCAACACTATTTTTATATAATGGCAAAGAAAGGGTTCAGAGTCTTTTCTTTTTTCCCTGTGTCATATGTGGCAGCACTGTTCAATGTTTCTTGAAAACATTACCCACTGTAGTGACGTGTGAATAAACTCCAACTCTGTATCAACAACACTGTTGTGTAACTTCAGTTAAATACTTGTATGTGTGTAGATTAGAAAGAGGTAAGATAAAGGATCTGCAGTATTTTATGAAGTATTAATCGTACAAAGGTCAGTTTTATACAAGTAGAAGTGTGTATTTACCTGGCAGTAGGCTATCAGTAATGGCTACGCCTCTCTATTTGGACTGGTAGATCTCGGCAGACTGGCAACTTTAAAAGTAGCTCTCGGTTCAAAAAAGGTTGGGCACCCCTGCGCTAGGCTAACAATGACTTACCTTCCTCGTTGTCTGGTCTAAACTGGTCTTCAATGGCATTAAAACGATAAAAACGATGATGTAGTTAATCCATAGATTAATATCCAATGGGGCTGTGTCCCCTTTGAAATGTTCTGATAATCTATAAGCAATAAAACTGCAATTCCGTTATCTGCTGTCCGCTCTGTGCTCCGTGCGCTCTGGGTCCTGCTGCATTTCCTGCTTCGTTACGCTGTAAACAATAAATGAAGTCGGCTGCGTAATATTGTTACGCTGGCTGGCATTCTTCATACTTTACGCAGGACCATATCTCTGGAACCCATTGGTCGATTCGTGTGATTTACACCTTTTTCTTAACCATCAGAACCAATAGAATCGATGGGCAGTTCCCAAATCTACGTAAACATTACCATAGCGGACGTAATAGAGAAGCAAACAAAGCATATCTGAAAGTGCAAGCCTGGACGGCAAAACTTTATACCGAGTATATTTCCATAAATATGATGATTGATTATCAGTAAAAAAATTCTACGTGACACAACGACATTGGATTAACCTTGAGATGCGTTTTTATTCCGTTGAACACAACTTTTGATCACAAATCAAAAAAGGTAAGACGTAATTATTGTAATATTTTTGGAACCGGATGTTGTTTACTTTCTCTTTTCTGGCTGATAGCTCCAGGAATTCGAGGTCTTACAGTGATGACATTACATGTGTGGAATCTGTGGAGTCTCAGCTTTAAATCGTATATCTTGTTTGTGCAGTTAAGATACGGGCATTTCCACCGTGTGTTGTGTGTAAAAAAGCGTTAGCATTAGTTAGCATTTTTTCGCTCAATGCTAATTCAAAGGCTTGGTATTACTCTTGTGTTTTTTTTAGCTAACAATTGTTCTTATTGTCAGTTAGCGGAGTTTCTTACCTTTAAAAGGGTATGAAACATTAATAGTTTCATAAATGTTAAGAAGCCCTGAGACATGTGAGAAAAAAAAAACTGTGGGAGGGGTCCACTGGGGGGACCTTCGGGCTTAACTGGTTAAGAATATGAGCATGACTACTCAGGGGAGAGGCGATTCACAATCAGGCCAGCTGTAGAGAAGACCCTCTCAGCTGGAATTTGGGCATAAGATGAGGTTTGAGTCTGCGTGATCTGCGTGTAGGGAGGGGCAGCAGCCGTATCATTAGCTAGAACTAGCTAGATCTAATGGATTTGGACATACACGCGAGTGAAGTATAACCGGACGCGAGAGAGAGATCAGCACCTGCAGCTCTGCCCGCTGTGAGGGACCGGTGAGCGGAGCAAAACACACCTTTAGACCTAACACACTTAGCTATGACTCTGTCGTATACATTGAATTAGTCCATTTGATCATATGTAATAAACTTAGGCACCCCTCCCAAAAAAAGAAAATCCATCCCTAATATAAATATGACACAATAGGGAAATGTGGGTGTCATCATCGCAGCAATGGAATAAGACAGAAACACAGACATGGGATAATAAGAATAAACGCTTAGCGACGTCCCGCCCCTTAGCCTATTACTACGATGTGTTGGAGCGCTAGCCAATAGGAGCTTGAGTGTTACATAGTGATGTCATTTTAAACAAAGACTCATTCAGATGCACACACATCTATATGACACACTACAGGAAAGGGAGAACCCCAAAAAGCAGGTTATTATTTAAGTTTCTCGACCCCTATTCCTAGGCTCACATCTCCATTATGTCTTTCGATGAAACTTGTGAATAAATGTTTTTCATTGAACCCCCCACACACTGTGGATCGCTGTCTGTTATTCTGTCACTGCAGAGCCTTAGGAGAACACGAGCACAAAGACAAACAGTTTTTTTCTTGGCAGCCGACGGAGGAGTATCAGCTCTCACTGAGCTCTGCTGTCCGTGTTGACACAGCTCTGTGAAAGTGGAGCCTGTGTGTGAGGAGGAGGAGAGCCGGGAACCAACAGGAAGTGCCCCAAACCAAACAGAGACAGAATGTTGCTGCGTCACTTCTTTATCTTCTTTCCTGTGCAGAGTTAAAGCCACAAATGGATATGCTGAGAAATGTCTGCTGAATAAGAGCCTCATGGACCTGTGGATCTAATTACACAGGTTTATGACCCAGTTTTATGGCATTTCACGCGCTGCAAAAGTATGTACTTGCGGCGCTCTATCGGACACCGGCTCCCTCGTCACCACTTCGTCTTTTGAAAATGTTTGCTCCGGGAGGCCTCGAGTGAAGCGACACATTTACCGTGTGACTGTTCGGCCGTCCTGGTTGCAGAAGCACATCCAAACTTTACAAGAAAATACCCTCTCTCTCTCCTGCGTCCAAAATCCACTTAAGATGATGCAATATTTTCCTACATTTTCTTAATGTCTTTCGTTTTTTGTAAAGCACTTTGAATTGCCTTGTGTTGAAAGGTGCTATATAAATAAACTTGCCTTGCCTTGCCTACATGAAACTTTCCACGGTCGTTATGAATTGAATGTAAAAAGGGGACAGACAGCTGCCATATAAACACGGTGGGTTTTAGGTTTGAATTCACTGTTCTGATTTTGTCTCGATTTGCCCTGAAGGTTTCGTTCCTGCTGGAAATACACACTGGGCTACCACAACGCTGACAAATAACAACTACACACAGAGAAGAGCTCAGTCTGTTGGCATGAGACACCACCACAACATATGATGTAACACACACACAAACAAACACACCCAAATGTCATCACACGTCTAGAGCACCATCCACAACATGTGGGGAGGCTGGCTGGGTGACTTTACAAATATTGAAACGCTAAAGTAGCTTTTTTTGTGGACAGAGTCAATACAAAATGACGCTGGACTTCAGCCATGTCTTTACAACAAGGAGAGTAAAGAAATGACATTACAAAAAGGAACCTGCGCAGCCACATCGTCATAAACACTTTAATGACTTTGTTTTGTCACACCGCACAAACAAATACGTCCCTGGCCGTTTGTTATTCTGAGTGTGTTCGGAAAGAGGGGCCATTATGTGTGTGTGTGAGAGAGAGAGAGGGAGAGAGAGAGAGAGAGCGAGAGAGAGAGAGAGAGAGAGAGAGAGAGAGAGAGCGAGAGAGAGAGCGAGAGAGAGAGAGAGAGCGAGAGAGAGAGCGAGAGAGAGAGAGCGAGAGAGAGAGCGAGAGAGAGAGACTGTGTGTGTGTGTGTGTGTGTGTGTGTGTGTGTGTGTGTGTGTGTGTGTGTGTGTGTGTGTGTGTGTGTGTGTGTGTGTCTCACCGCTGTGGACAGCCTTGAGGCCAGAGTCATCTCCAGGTTCCCCTTCAGGCCGAGGAGAGCCGGTACCAGGATGAAGATCTCCGTGATGTACTGGAACGCCTCCCAGTGCTGTGAAGGACAACAGAGGGTAAATAAGTTTGTACTGCATGTTGACTTTCTAATTACTGCACTCGGCCTCATTTGACATGTAAATGTAAATACTACGCTATCTTTAAGATAAGACAAACATTCATAATTTCCTTGTCTCCTGTGGACTTAAAGGCTTGAGGTAACGGAGTGGTTTCTCTCTCTTGTCAAGAAAACCGGCAGAAATTCTGAAAAAGTGTCAAAGTTTGAAACTGGATTACTGCTCACCACTATGTTGACTCACTGGAGAATGACTGAAAGAATGTAGTTCCTCTTACTAGTAAACAGAACATGTTTAGAGGAAATATCTTGTGGCCAGCTTTACTTTAAGAAATACATTAATTGTACAACTTGGGTATTACTTGTGTTGCTTTGGCCATCATTCATATCCTTTAATATATATGTTTGGGTTCACCCTAGTCATCAAGAGGCTTTAAATGACGTCCCTGCTGACGAGCCCCTATTCGTCAGCTAGCAATAAGAGTGAACATAGCTAGTGTAAACAATGCTGGACTTAACAAATAGAGCCTGACTTCCTGCTTCCTTCTGGTTTATTAATGTAGTTATGCTCACAATGATAAATAATAAATGAAGAAATATTACAACATGATTAAGTCCATTCAGCTTTTATATCGTCACCAAATAAAAGTTGTTTGAATAAAATAACTGTTGTCTGATTGGCTGATCATGTTTTGTGCTCCTTCCCCACCATGTTCAAGCACTGACATTGTTATCAGTTTGCTATCCTGGCTCCAAAATGGTGGAATGAGCTCCCCATTGACATTAGGACAGCAGATAGCTTACACACCTTCCAGCGCAGACTGAAAACTCATCTCTTTCGACTCCACTTCGAGCGATAGAATTACTAACAAAGCACTTATATACTAATAAAGGACTGGCTTATCTAAAGCCAGTTGAGTAGCACTTGAAATGTTTTGGCTCTATGAAACCTGATGTACTTATATGATTCTGTTTTCTTCTAGTTTGTATCTTGTTGGTCGAATGCACTTATTGTAAGTCGCTGTGGATAAAAGCGTCAGCTAAATGCAATGTAATGTCTGATTGAAACAATGGCCCCAACTATGAGAACAATACCATGAAGATGAATAAACTGGACTGAGCCTTTAATGCCGCCTTGTCTTAAGCTCCTAACTATGGAATAACAGTTGCATTGTAGCTCGGCTTACCTGCACAATATCCAGCACCATGCCAGCACACACAGTTCCAAACCCAGCGAGCAGGAAAGGCAGCAGGATCTGCAGCGCCATGGCCAGCAGAGACTCCTTGGGCATTTTGTGCACGACAGATCCCGGACCTGCCTCCTCATCCTCTTCCTCCTCCTCCTCTTCATCTGCCTCCTCTCCAGAGTGCCTCCTCTCAGCCAGCATGGGCTCCGTTTCAGAGTAGCCTCCATCTCCACAGTCAGATAAAGTCACAGAGGAGCGAGAGGCCCGGTCCAGAATCCGCCGGCCTTCTATGTGTGTCGTCTCTTGTCTGTAGCCGTTCTGGAGCGATGCGACGTCAGGTTTGGCGCTGAGGTCCACCATGGAGAGACGCTCATCCTGTAGCTTGGTGTAACCCGTGGGAACCATGGTCTGGAATACAGAGGCGATCCGCCCGGAGGAAACTGGCTTCAGAGAGAGAGAACTCCAGCCGCTCATACGCCCCGTCAGGCTAGAGCCCAGGGAATCCCCTACAGGTCCTCCCAGACCCGGGAGACTCATGGTGTGGTGGAGCCCCGCAGACTCTCATCTCCTGTCCTCCAGTCTCAGAGCAGTGTAGAAATACAAGGGGTTTAGACTCGGCTCAATGACTCATGTGCCTGAGAGAAATAAACAAGATGTCAGAGGTTTGAAAAGCTGAACAGGAAAACACAGACTGACTGAAGCGATATTTAGGGTGACATTAGATCAATGGCCTGCATACTGACTGATATGATATTGACTCACAGCTGCACAGTGTCCCGGAAACTGCCAGGGGCCCAGGTGAGAAGGTTCATCTTTGCTGTTTTACTATTGGAGGACGCTCATGCATTGACTGTTTAAAAGTCTTCTTTAAAGGTGGGGTAAGTCATTTTGGAGAAACCAGCTCGAGTGCGCTAGAATTTGAAAATACACAACCGGAAAAAATCTGCCACTTCCTTACAGAGACCCTCCTCCAACACACACGAACGCGCACATGACCAATGAGGGCACGAGATCAGTTTGTGCACAGATGGAAGGCTGACAGGCAGGTAGGCCATCCAGTTACTTTAGCCGGGCAGATGATTGGTCGTGCTTTTTACAGCGCCACGGCTTCCAGAGATGACATTTTATTTATGTGTTTATTGTCAAAGAATTTAAGATATTCATTGCTGTCGGGATGTTAAGAGCATTCCATGGAATATAACAAAAAGTGTATCTCGAGCCGGTTTCTCATTACCTACCCCACCTTTAAGCAGAGTTATTAACAACTTTGCTGGAAAGACCCGTAGAGCCGAATTTCTGATGTGTGAGGTTTATTTTCAGGATGAAGTTGGATCAGGGATTTAAGCATATCTAATGCAATTGTGATCTTCTGTATAAAATGCATGGCAACTGTAATCTAACACTGTACAATTAGCGTTGATAAATGTATGGTTGCTGTCCGTGGTGCTGACCAAGGCCTAATTTACAGGATGTGAGCAAATACATGGGAAGCGCCTCCATGATAAAGCAGCTGTCTGATTTGCCTTTTTTTTTTTAGTTAGAGTAGTTGTGTGTGTCTCTGCAGTGCACGATAACACTTATGGTTTGGGCAAAGTCCCAAGAAAAATGATTTGCACTGGGGCAATTATGTTGTACACTGCTGACTGAGATTGAACAGCTGAGTCATCTACTGTAAAGAGGAACAACATCCTTCATAATCAGTTACCTTTTACTAAATAATTACAAACCGGCTTTGAGGAAATGTTACAATAACACGAGTAGGAGTAGTTCAAAGATACAGATTCTTCATCCCTTCAAGATGTTGTACCTTATTTTTTGTTGCTTTTCTGTTACTGCTTTCAATCACAACTACGTGCTGGACAATATGTTGGCACCTTCAGCCCATAAAGACACTAAAAAACAGTTTGGGAATTAAGTAGTCCTAATTGCAAAACCAAGAGAAAACAAGTGTATTAGTTAGATGTTTGGTTTATGTTATACCAGAGCAGGAAATATAACAATCACGAGTAGCTCAACACATTTAAATAAGAGGTACAAAAAGAATTTGTTTAGGAATAAATACATAATATCTGTGAGTGTCTTACCGACAGAAAGCAATGGCAAAAGTGAAGAATAGTTTAATTTCCTTTGTATCTGCACTTCATCAGTGTTCAGGCCTTTTCCTCTAACCCGTCTATCTCAGTGTATAACACTTCGACTTTATGTTAAGTATTTGTATTTGTCCCCATTGAGTTTATATTAAGTGATCACCTTCCTAAACTAGACAATATTATCGTACGTATGTTTATGTTAGCTAACTATGCTATGATAGCTAGCTGTGTAGAAATTCAAAACAGTAGCACAAACGGCTCCCTACTTTCGTATCCGTAAACCGGGGAAATACACTATCTGGTGGTATTTAGTTGATATAAGAATAATAAACTGATTGTTGTAGTCGTCCAGGATTAATTTTTGATAACTTACCTCTCGGATACGGAGACATTTCATCCAGGAGAAGAGATGGGAGTCTACTCTGTTTTTTTTGACAGAGCAGCGTCAGACTGAAAAATGCCAACAAAGCTCGTCTATAAAAGAACAATGTATCACTCCGCTTGAAAAAGAGTGGGTGTAATCCGGCTGATTCATAGACCGGTATATTACAACGAGTTTGGATGCCATTAGGACATTAATAATAACATATAAAGAAAACATTAGATTAATATGTATGTTTATATGGGATATATATTGTTGTCTATTTCTAAATACATGTATATACTTCTTTAAATGTATTTTTATATTTCAGCTATTTTACGTAGGCCTATTTATTATTTTGTTTTTTGTAAATGTTTAAACACAGGTTGCCTTGTATTGTGTCAACACTAAAAAGAATTCAAGACTCTCTCTCGTTGAAGTAGGTCAACTCTGCCTGGTTGGATTCGTCGTAAAAGAAAAAAATAGGAGTGGGATCTCTTGCTGTTCTTTCAAGCTTTCTGGCTAGAACAAAAAGTGCCACACAGTGTGTCTGCAGTGCGCATGCGCAAGGTACACCGACTTTATCACATCATTACATTTTCCCTTAGCTTCCGTCTTATTAGATTTTTTTTTTTTACATGTATTATTTGATTTTTCGTTTATTAATTTTTATATTGGTTTTAAAAGCACTGCCTTCAATTTTTAGAGCTGTTCTAACATTACATGCATTCCTCCGAAACACTAGGGGGCGCTGCATAAATCATTTTACCTCCTACCCGGATGTTGGTCCCACATGTCGATGAAAACAAAACACAGTCGCCTTTAAAATGGAATTAAACATTAAGAAAACAACCTCACAGGATTTGCTGTCATGTGGGAACGGAGAAGGTTTGAACTATTTTATTAGCAGTTACATTTTTAGTTTAGGTAGAACATTTTTGAAACGAGTTTTAGTGAGAGAAGCCTGTGTGTTCAGCAACGAGTCACTAGACACTAAACCTCCTCAGAGTTGATTTAGCTATTAAATAAATAGGGTTTTAACCATATGTTCTTACAGGAACGACACTGTTTCCATATAGATCATTTATCATAAATTGGTGCGGTGAAACTCCTCTAGTAAGAGTTTTACGTTATCTTCAGTAAGAGTTTTGTAATTTGAATATGTGTTAACCAGCTCTGAAATGTGTCTGAAAACTAAAGAAATCCAAGAAAGTTTCCAAGCAAAGTTTCTAATATTAGAAATGATTCGTACAAAAGTGTCAGACATTGGTTAGCTAAATATGTTGATCACAGCAATGGCCAGTACAGTGTGTTATTGATGTGTTAGAAGTGAATATAGACTTAGGACTATGTGAAGTCCTTAACATTAGATAATAATCTTTTTTTTTACATGATAAATGTTTCTTCAAATGCATGAGTCACCTCGCTCTAATAAGACAGCTGAAGAGTGTACATGGTTTTTCATTTGAAGAGAAATGTCACTATTTTATAGACTACACAGTGCTTTCCATTTCTACACCACTCAACAATAGTACGCAAAAAACACTACTAGGATTGGACAACCATTTAATGATCCATAAATGTTAGGGAATGCCACTTTCTTGTGCCTTTCTCAAGCCTTTTGTGTGAACTGTTGTATATTGATTTGATATGTATCACTATAGATAAACTATGTTCACTCACTGTTGGCTTGTTTGTTGTGCTGCCAGGTCTCAGTGAGAAGCTTCTCCTCAAACCAAAGGCTGCCAAATCCCGGCAGACAGAGAGAGTCCCGAGGAGCAGCGGTAAGACTAAACATCACTATATGTGTGGCTGTAAAATGAAGAACCAACACCCTTTGAGCCAGAACGTGTGATGATGTTTTGTTTTGTTGTGTTTCAGTGTTGGATCGGCTGCAGAGCTTCCTGCCTCAGATGGCCGAAGCCAACGAGAAGCTGAAGAAGCAGATGGCTGAATCTCCAGCTGGAACATTTGACATAGAGAGCGTGGAGGAAGCAGAGAAGGTCATAGAGATGGTGAGTGTCATGTGGTAAACAAAAAACAGACATGCAAAATTTAAGAATTGCTATTTTTTTGTAACCATAACCCTAGCAGTTTCAGTGTGCAATACACTTACACACCATCTGTGTAAATAAGAACAGCTGTACAATGTGTACAGTGTACACATTCATTTGTTACGATTACATTACTTATGAATGCAGGGTGTCCGCGGGGTCTTAAAAAGTTGATAAATCAATTTAGAGAAAATGAAGGCTATTAAAAAGTATTAAACGGCATTTTCCAAGGTATTACATTTTGTAGCTTGTTTTCAATAAGTATATAAATGGTCCAAAGAGGTTGGTCTCTACAGTCTGCCTGAATGTAATCATTGCGTAGGTGTGTAGTGTGATTCTGTGTAGTTTATTGATGGCATCCCGTTGGGTTTGACGTCATCTGAACAGGACATCGCACGCTCACTGCTTGATCCGTCCGTTTACGCCGGTTGCTAAGCAACATCGTTATGGGGAAATGCAAGTTTGCGTCCAAATGGTTGGAAGATAAGGAGGAAGGACAATCAATACTGTATATAGTCAATGTGAGGTGAAGTGTGTCGCCAAGGTAACCGGTTAAAACTCCAAGTGGCGATGAGGTCTTACAATGTATGGAAAGGGTCTTAAAAAAGGTCTTACATTTTACTTCAGGATTCCTGCATATACCCTGGAATTAAAACTAGCAATATAATACCCATATAATAATAATAATCTTTATTTGTATAGAACCTTTCATACAAGAATTGCAGTCCAAAGTGCTTCACAGTAGACATTTCTTAAAATAGTCACAGAAAATTATATATCATAAAATACAGTTACCAGTAAAAGACATAATCATAAAAGAATAGGGTAGACATACAATACTTATTAAAAGCTACAATAAAATAGTGCATTAAAAGGGGGATAGAGCAAATTCACATTGGGATTACACATCGACATAATGGCAGCGATGCGGTGATAATAACACAACTGTAATAATATAATTTGTCAACTTTACATAGCTACAACATCGAGCAATTACAACAACACAAGCTAAAATGTTGCTTCAAACATCTATCAAACACTGTTTTTAGCCGTTTTACATGTATTTGATGTGATTGAGTCATCTAATACCTCCCTCTCTTGCCCTCAGGACGTGGCGCTGGTGGAGCTCAGCGGCTCGGAAAGCGACTCTGAAGAATATGAGGAGAATTCAGATTCTGAGGAGGAATCGGAGAGCGACATCACAGAGCCGAGCATCAAATTACCTGGAGAGAAGGGCAAGAAGAATAAAGCAAACATTCAGGTCCTGAATCTTCAGGGAGAGTAGAAACCGTGGCATGCACAGACTTTTGGCTGCGTTATGTACATTTCTGGAGGTAGTGTGGATTCAACTGACTGACCTTTGGAGGGATTTTAACCTACTTCAGCGACGGAGAACAGGAAGTGGCTGTGTGGAGAGACACAGACCGTCCTCATCCCTATGGGAACTATAAGAGTTATTATTTGTGTGTACATTTTAAAGGAATGCAGAAGTGCCTTTGGAGCCAGAACAGAAACTGTGATAGCCTCATCCAGTCTGGCCATCAGCTGACCTCTCCTTGTCCATGATGTGTTATCAGTTATTACTGTGGATCCCCTTGTTTATTGGCTTTTGTTTTCATATGCTTTAACACATTATTACATCAGTTTAGACCACAGACTGTTTGTGTAACATAGGCACAGTTATGATCTTCTAAAGGAAGATGGGTTGCCAGAAAAGAGGTGTGATTCGGTGTATGCCAATGAAAATAAAGCTTCTGTACATATGCTTCATCGAGATGTATTGATACTTCTAACATGTTAGCAATCAGAAATAATCTGTGTCATGATTAAAAGTGCAATGTGGTCAGAATATGTTATCCCATTAGTTTCATTATCCCTAAAACGTTTTTATTAAAGCTGAAATCATGAATATCTAAAAAAAAAACAAGTGGCTAGATCTGTGTGAATTTTTTTCCAGACATTCATGGTCCCCAAAAATTAACTGTAATGACTTTAGTGATTTTGTGACTGGTAGATTTTGGATGGTGGAGGGCTTTGAAAGTGAGGACCAGGAGTTTGTAATGGATGCGGTGTGAAACGGGGAGCCAGTGGAGTTCTTTGAGGACCGGGGTGATGTGATGCCATGATTTGGTGTGGGTGAGGAGTCTGGCGGCTGCGTTCTGGACACGCTGGAGTCTATTGAGGGATGTAGTGCTGATGCCGTAAAGGAGTGAGTTGCAATAGTCAAGGCGGGAGGAGATGAAGGCGTGAATGAGTCGCTCAGCTGCAGGGCGGGTGAGAGAGGTACGGAGTTTGGAAATATTGCGGAGGTGGAAAAATTAGGTTTTTACAACTTGACGGATGTGGGGCTCGAGGGAGAGGGTGGGGTCAAATATAACGCCAAGGTTGCATGCCTAGGTGGAGGGGGAAACAGGGGTGCCATCAATGGTGACTGTCAGGTTGGGGTTTTTGCTGAGGGTGGATTTAGAGCCGATGAGGAAGGAGTTCAGTTTTATTGCTGTTGAGTTTGAGGAAGTTGTGTTGCATCCAGGATTGTATTGCAGTCAGACAGGATTCAATGTGGGTGAGGGGGGGGTTGTGGGGGGATTTGGTGCGGAGGTAAATCTGTGTGTCGTCAGCGTAACAGTGAAAGTCCAGGTTGTATTGGCGGAGGATCTATGATGAAGAGGAGGGGGCCGAGTACTGAACCTTGGGGAACACCTTGGGTGACTGAAGCTGTGACAGAGGAGTGGTTGTTGAGGGAGATGAAGTGGGATATGTCGGAGAGGTAGGACTGGAGCCACCTGAGTGCAATACCTTCAATACCGATATCCTGGAGTCGGGTAAGCAGGATGGTGTGGCTCACGGTATCGAAGGCTGCACTCAGGTCGATGAGGATGTTGAGGGAACCTGTGTCAGCAGAGGTGAGGAGGTCATTGAGGACTTTGATGAGGGCCGTTTCTGTGCTGTGGTGGGGACGAAAACCAGACTGAAGGGGTTCAAAAAGCTGGTTGGTTTGGAGATGGTGGTGGAGTTGTTTGGAGATGATGCGTTCTATTGTTTTTGAGAGAAAGGAGAGGTTGGAGATGGGGCTGTAATTACTGAGGGAGGAGGGATCCAGACCGGGTTTCTTGAGGATGGGAGTGACAGCAGCAGTTTTGAAGGCAGAGGGAACGGTTCCTTGGGACAGGGAGGAGTTGAAAAGGTTGACAAGGTAGGGGCAGAGGACGGGGAGGCAGGACTTCAGTAGAGGGGTGGGTAGAGGGTCAAGCGAGCAGGTTGTGGGTTTGGAGGAGCTGATCAGTTTATTTCAGGGGGGGTAACCAGAGTGAACTGGGAGAGGCGGCCGTGGGGAGGAGGGCTCGGGAGGTCCAGGGAGATGGGGGGATAAATTGTGGCGGTGGATGTTGGGGGAGATGTATGTGTGTCAGATGCAGTGGATACATGTCATCTTCTTTGTCATAGGTTTTGTTGTATTCCTCTTATCTCATTTTCTCTCCATACAGCAGATAACAAACATCTTAAACATGTTAGAAACTGTCTAACAAACCTATGTTGGAGTGTTTTCATGAAATTGTGGTTAGTACTAATACTTTGAATCTACTCTAGCTATCAAAATTGGTGACATATTTTCACCTTCCACTTCTCTGTGAAAATCGACATACAGGTAAAAGGTACAGACTAAAAACATTGCATTGGTGTTGTTTTTTAGGTACAGTAAGACCAGAAACAAGCAAGGAGTTACTCAGTCGATGTCATTCCAAAATGTTGAGTAACATGATGGATGCACACTATGAATTATTACAATACATGTCACTTGTTAGACGCTTTTATCCAAAGTGACTTACATACTGTACTGTGGGCAATCCCCAGGCAATTTGGGGTGAAGTGTCTTGCCCAGGGACACAACGACATGCTGACTGCAGTGGGGTTTGAACCTGTGACCCCATGATCCGAACACCAACGCACTAACCCACTGCCTTATTTATTGTACTCACAAATATAAAGTTGATACTGTGGAGAGTTAACAACGTTTTTTATTATTTGGTCTTACAAACCAAACAGCGATTCTTTAGTTTGAGGTTGAATATGGGTGTGGAATATTTACATTCTATATGAGACATTAACAACCTAGTTTTTGAGACACACCCATAGACTGGTTGTACAAATTAAAGTAAACAGTTACAGGGTAAAATGTGCAGAGTAAAAGTTTCGCTAATTCTTTAAAATTCCTTAAAACTATGATTGTGAAATAGTAATATAACAAATAATTTCTCCCGCTCGCCGCCATTGCTAAGGCTAGCAAGTCATGTGAGCCATAATGACATTGTTTGCAATTTTTCGAGACAAGAACCCCGAGATAAGAGAAGAAAGAAGAGCTAAGAAAGAAGAAGAAGAAGAAGAAAGAAAGAAGAAGAAGAGAAAAGAACGAAGAAGAAAGAAGAAGAAGAAGAAAGAAGATAAGCAAGAAGAAGAAGAGAAGAAGAAGAAGAAGAAGAGAAGAAAGAAGAAGAAGAAAAGAAGAGAGAAGAAGAAGAAGAAGAAAGAGAAGAAGAAGAAGAAGAAGCTAATTGAGAATCCACACTTACCACGGTTTATCCTGGCAATTGCATCTTATAATTTGGTTTTTAAATTCAAACGTGAAGTCATTACTCATGCTTTATTATAATTACTATTATTATTATTATCATTATAGTATTTATGAATAATTATAGGAGCTAACCTAATATTAGCTAGCTATTAGCAGCTTCCACAGTAAATTCACGTTCACATGTTCACTGGTCTTTGCTGCCCCCTAGTGGATGTTCATAATATATGATCTGTAAAACATACACAAAGGGTTGTTATGTATGTTTCAAACAGCTGATTTTGTTTTTCCGTGATCGTTTTTACCACTTTGCAACAGTACGTAAGGTGAAACAAAAAGGAGGAAAAGGTTGTTGTCAGAAGTGGGATTCGAACCCACGCCTCCAGAGGAGACTGCGACCTGAACGCAGCGCCTTAGACCGCTCGGCCATCCTGACTGTGAGTTATATCTTTCTCCAAATGTTATATAATGTATAAACGTTAATAATAAGCCTACAGTATGTAGAAATAGTATACAGATTAATATACAGATTAGCATGCAATCAAACTCGGATTTCAAGTGTAAACAGGTAGGATTAGCACAAGGAATTCATATTTTCGTACTTTATAATTACGTTTACAAATAGAAAAAGTTTAACAGTCAGGATGGCCGAGCGGTCTAAGGCGCTGCGTTCAGGTCGCAGTCTCCTCTGGAGGCGTGGGTTCGAATCCCACTTCTGACAACAACCTTTTCTTTGTAACGGCTACATGTAACATGATATAGGGATATATGTTGGAAGACACATCCGCAAATACAGTGCTATGTGTCAAGTGGTGGCTTTTCTACATTGCAAGTAGCATGTGTTTCTATATATTCGTTTTTTTAAAAATAGTTGTACCTTCTGCGAGACACCCAGGTGAAGAAGGGGGAAGAAGAAAAAGAGGAAAAAGAGGAAAAAATGAGAAAAGAAAAAAAGTGAAATCTTTACTTGATTGATGTGTTTTTAGCTATATGGCACACATGGGAAACTGTTATGCTGTGTTCGTTATTCTCGCGTCCAGGAGAGAAGCTTTAAAAAGGAGACTAATTGAGTCTCTGAGAAGGTTCAAATGGGTAGTTTAATTAATAAAGGCGTGGTAGTGTTACTGCTACCCCCGCGATCCGACCACGGATAAGCGGGAGAAGATGGATGGATGGTGGTAGTGTTACAAGCAGAATATTGTTCAGTCAGAAGAACAGCTGTGTTCTGGCTCTCATGAGTGAAGGGAAGAGCGAGCTCCACCTTTCCAGCTGTTAAATATCCTCTGCTGGCTCCTCCCTGTGGGCCGGTACATTTTTCGGAAACGCTGGAAGCGGGATTCGAACCCGTGAACTAGGGAACTACACAAGTCATGTTCCATACATTTGGCATTCTGTCACAGTTTATTTAAATATAGTCCCTTGTTAAACAGCACTTTGTTTTGTATTTCATTTGTGAAAAGGGCTATATAAATAGTATGACTCAATGACACGTTTAATTAAGTATAAATGTGATGTACTTGTACTCCATAATATGAATTGTTTTGAAAGTGTACATCACTACATCTTAGAGGTAACTATTCTACATTTTACTGCACGCATGAACGCCGGATTTTTTTTTTGTAATGTAGTATTTTAAGTCTGGTATTAGTACTTTTACTTAGGTAGAGGATCTGAGTACTGCTTTAAAGAGTGAATGTTAAAACTATAAAATGTTGTCACCGCATTATATTATTTTGTACAACTGCAGAACACCATTTTGTTTGTTGAGAGAAAAAATAAGAAAATACTTTTTGAAAGATTTTATTAAAACACACCACAAAAGTACAACAAAGACTTTAAATAAAATAATAAAACACTGACATTACTATTCACAGCAAACCAATAAATGTAAGTATAAAAAAAAATAAAAAATTACAAAACAACTATTATTTACAAGCATTAAATATTGTACATTTTGATGAACTATTTACAATATGTTTACATTATTATTTGCCAAATATTTTCCTCATTTCCATTTTCCAGTCTGTCCACGTGCTGGAACCCCGGAAGATTCTGGTCATCCAGATGCAGATGATGAAACAGTTTAGAAATGGAAACATTAAGCAAACACTGACCTTTACAATATTGTGGATATAATAAAGTATGTGTGCATAAGTAGTTGATAATGAAATCTAGATAATCTGTATACATAAATATTCTATATATTCTACCATTTCTTCTTCTTCAGCTTGCATGTCAACACTGGCCTCAGAGGAAGAACTGGAGGGCAGGATCTCAGCAGCAGAGGCCTGTGCAGATGGGCTTGGGGTCGGTGTCGTTCTGCTCAGGGCTCCGGTGGTTGTGCTGGGAGCCCGGATGGAAGTGCCAGATGTTGGGGTGGTTCTGCTGGGGGCCAGGGTGGTTCTGCTGGGGGCCAGGGTGGTTCTGCTGGGGGCCAGGGTGGAAGTGCCAGAGGGAGTCTGAGAGGCTGGAGCCTGCAGGACCCCGAGGTCCAGCACTGTGGGGTCGTCTCTGATGTCAGAGAAGCCCTCATCTTCCTCCATGACGTCCTCATGCTCTTCAATCAGCTGAGCAGTCTCCTCTGAATCAGGGTGCATATCCTGCAGTGCCTGACCAGTCTGCTGCAGCAGATACTGCATGCCGATTAGTTCTCCTGAAACGATAGAGGAAAAGTGGATTACTTACTAAATGGAATAAAATGATATAAATATATTTTTTAAATATTGTTTAAACGTTTAAAAATTACAAACGTGTCCAAAAAGGCCTACCAGTGTAACGGGAGGGTGGACAGAACTCCGGAACCATCTGCCTTCCAAAAAGCTTCTCAAAGTTCTTGTTCACGCAGTGAAGCAAGTCCCCTGAGTAGCTGCGTAAAGCAGATGGTCCAGTACCCAGGGCAGCAGTACCACGGTCCTGGTTCCACCTGTGCATTCAGGCTGTTAGCACTGGTCCCTAGAAGAACATTATGAAACATTAGGTTATGAAATATTTGGGCTAACATGTTTGACAGACACAAACCTGGTATGAAGCGGGTGAGGTGTAGGTGAAAAGACTCTAATGATGTAGAGCCGCTTGCACATCTGTACGTAGGCAAACGTACTCCTCCCTTTGTGAGCTCCCCTGTTTTGATGTACAGAGCAACACCTGGCGTGTCCTGGATGCACTTGATGTGCTTTCTCTGGACACGCAAGATGTGCTCCATCCTCTGCCTGTCCAACAGGGCACTCCTAGGGAGTCGCTGCCTCCGGTTCCTGTGAGACCCAGCAGCAGCTCTTCCAGCAGCTGAGTGGTGGTCCCCTCACCACGAGTCCTCCTCCTGCAGTGGAGAGCCAGCTCATCTTTGGTGAGATGATTACTGACATCTGCATCTGTCAGGAAAGACAGGCCCTGGGATTGAAGCTGCTGTCTCTTCGCTTCACGCAGCAGAGCTAAATCAGCTGCATCCCACTCAAACATGCACGTTGATAGACGTGACATAAAGGTTGGATACAGCTGATGAGCATCTGTTGTGCATCCCTGGGCAAGTCGGCGCATGAAGTGCCAAATGTCCAGCCTTACTGTCAGGTCTGGCCACCCTCTGAATGTGGCCTTCAGCTTAGTCTCCCCTGACTCTGTGCAGCTGCCACATACAGCAGCACAGGAGGACCCACTCCGGCCTGCTGGTATCTCCTCACCAGGTTTGCTGCCATCGTGTCCAGCCCTGCTCCCTCCTGAGCAGTCATGCACTCATGAGAATCTGGCCAGTCTCATTTCCCACAGAAGTGAGCCAGAGCGCGCGCGGTCCCCTTGGCTGTTCCAGCAAGCTTTTTGGTGATCTGAAGAGAACACAATGAAAAGGAAATGTACAAATACTGAAATACAGGCTGAGGTTATTAATATCAGTAGTGTTTAAAAGATAAGAGATTGCTTCACCTTTCTGGTGGAATCCATTTTTAGAATGCTGCCATATGTGGATGTTATCCTGGCCTTGATCTCCTCCAGCCTGGTCAAGATGTCCTGGCTGTACACCGAGAGGAGCCACTTGCAGCTCGGCACCACAGCAGGCTCTGGAGGCTCAGGGAAGGTCACGGGCATCAGTCCGGGGCCCTGGAGGAAGCCCACACACTCTGTGGTGTACCTCGCCACACGATGCAGCCACTCCTCGGTGTGGTTCTCCCTCAGCTGCTTTAACACCCTGGTGGGGCTGTTACTCAGGCCTCTCTCCCTCAGAAGCCGGATCACCCGGATATCACATGCAAACCTTGGTGAGGGACAGAAATAATTATAAATATCCATTTACATGATTCTATTTGAGACAACAGAAAACAATACACTTTACTCACTTTTGTGTGAGGATGACCCGAAACTCAGATCTGTGAGCCAAGTCCAACTGCGAAAGGACCGTCTGGCTCCATGACACGTGGGTGGATTTGGTGCAGGTAAGAGTCTCAGTCACCATGTTGTAGATCCTGTCCACGTCCAGGACCTGACGTGCCCTCTTGTGCAGCCCTGCACCTGTGAGTCGGTGCTGCCCACAGCCAAGGTTGGGACACACCACCTTCACCTTCCACAGCTTGTAAGGCATCCAGACAAGAAGTGGGTGGGCAAAGAAGCGGTCTGGTGCAGGAGCCTGGTGATACAGGTGGCTTGGCTCTGGTGGAAAGTACCAGAGCTTCAGGTGGTCTTGAAGCTCTAGTTTTCCCTTGGGCCCGAACTTCAAAAGGCTCTTAAGAATCCATTTGTGGTCTTCAGGTGGAAAGCCCTCTGACCACAAACGGGGCAGCTGGACTGGTGATGCTGTGTCAGTCTCTGTCCTGGAGGCAGCAGCCTTTGAAAAAACAACAACAGAGCATAAGCAACCTTAACACAGGTACAAACACTGCTGATGCTCTACACCAGAGGTGCCCAGTACGTCGACCGCGGGGGCAATGCTGGTAGATCGCGAGTCATTCATAAAAAATAAAAAATCCAGCTCCGTTAAAATAGACAAATCAGGTTTTGATCCCTCCTCCCTTGGCCTCCCTGCCACTTAATTCAGGAGTTTACTTGATTGACAGAAAAAGCGACCTTTCGCTTTCCAGTCTGTTAACCCAGAATGCAAAGCGATACAAAATCAGTCAAGTGCCGGGAAAACTCAAATTAAGTTAAAGAGACAAACAAGAGACAAACAACAAAATGAGTGCGGGACCGAGCACCCAGAATGGGAGGAAGAATATTTGTTTGTGATTCACATTCAAAGGTTATTTGCCTTATGTGTAAAGCAAGCGTCGCTCTGCCAAAGAAAGGTAACGTGTATGACAGCGACTTCCCTTAGTGGAGCGAGTTGAGAAAGAGAAAGGTCATGTATTATTGCTACACAAACATTATCTCGCAGTCTTAGTGTCGCCAACTCGTTTCTAACATGCAAAAAGACAAACAAATGCGCATATGGTCGGTGCATTTTCGACCTTTCCGATCCAGACTAGATCTCTCTCTCCCGTCTGTGCGCGAGGGGGCGGGGCAGTTTACACACGCAGCTGCTATATGCAGCAACACACGGAGGAGATGGCGGAGAGAAGCGCTCCAAGGTGTGGTTAAATGTTACCCGTCTTGAGGTGGACAATGCTCGTTGCCAAGAGAGTTCAGCATGTGAGGGCGGTAACACGAGCAATGTGTCAAAACATTTATCAAAAGTGCTCCACATCCAGACGGAGGAATGCACCGGGTTCCACTGTCTTTCTAGCAGCTCTGCAGCCCCATCCACGAGTAACGTTTCCACGTCAGGTGTTATGTATGCTAGCAGCAACACACGGAGTTAACTACATGATACAAACACGGGTTAATGATGAGAGGAAACTGAGGTATTTATTTTGTTAAAGTTTCAGCTATTCTGTTCACAGTTCTGTCATCAGATTATTTAATACGATTTGTTAAAACATTGTTGTTTCTTTTGATGTGAAATATTATTTATTTAATTTAAATAAAAAGCAATGTTAGTTTTGTTCACAATTTGTTAATTTAATAATATATGTATTTTTGAATCAAGTATTCATCTTTACTGTCTTCATTGTTAGTTTCCACATGCCTAAAACAACCTCAAGCTAAATCTAAAAGTTGATGGCTAAACAAGAGGGTTTGAGAAATTGTGCAAGGCATACAGTAATAGTCCGAATAGTCGATTAGTCGTTTCATTAATCGATAGATTAATCGATTATCAAATTAGTCGTTTGTTGCAGCCCTATTATCCCATGTATAAATAAAACGTGTTATTCAGCAACCCTTGCAATTTGGGATTTTATTTTTGTTTGGTAGACCTCGGTGAGCTGGTCATTTCAAAAGTAGCTCACCAGCCCCAAAAGTGTGGGCAGCCCTGTTCTACACAGTATGAAATGAAATATGAAATGACTTCCCGACACAGTGGCACTCACTGCTCCGGGACTGAGGACAGGCACTGAAGCTGTCCGAGGCTGTGCAGCCTGTAAAAGGCAAGAAATATACTGACATGTGTTTAAAGAAATCATAACATTTACATTCAAAAGATTCAAAGTTATTTTTCAGCTGCTCTAAAGGAAACACTAATTGTTTTTAGCTTTCAATTGTCATTTCAGAATTAAATGTGTAACAACACATTATTTAATAAAACATTAGGCTTTTAATTCCCTTAATACTATTTGATAAAAATGGTGTAGGAATACAAACACGCTTTCTGTATTTGTAAAAGTGAGTTTATCATCACTTACTGAGACAGCAACGCTGGGTGCAGTGCTGAAGCTTCTTTCTGTGGGGTAAGTGCTGGTAGATGCTTCTGTGGGGTCCGTGACATGGGTCTGTAAAACACTCAGTATGAGTAACTTGTATATAAAGTTAAACTGTTATTTAAAAAAAGAAAATCGATTTACCTCTGTTGCCTTTCTGGGTCTGGCTGTACTCAAATTTGGCTTTGCAAGAGCAGCGTGTGCACCACCAAATCTTGACTTGGTAACTGAAAGGCAATAAAGCAAACAAATGTGTCATGAGAGGATGATACTGTCAAGATATAATTCGTCTTAAAATGTTAATGCTCAATACATGAGTCTAAATAACTGTCCAGATACCATTGACAAGTTTAGTGCTGGTGTTCGCAGGTCAGGCGCTCTGATTGGCCATATTCTCAACATTTCTTAAAATTACTCAGCCGAGCCTGCGAACTCACAGTCAGGATGGCCGAGCGGTCTAAGGCGCTGCGTTCAGGTCGCAGTCTCCTCTGGAGGCGTGGGTTCGAATCCCACTTCTGACAACAACCTTTTCCTTCTTTTTGTTTCACCTTACGTACTGTTGCAAAGTGGCAAAAACGATCACGGAAAAACAAAATCAGCTGTTTGAAACATACAACAACCCTTTGTGTATGTTTTACAGATCATATATTATGAACATCCACTAGGGGGCAGCAAAGACCAGTGAACATGAGAACGTGAATTTACTGTGGAAGCTGCTAATAGCTAGCTAATATTAGGTTAGCTCCTATAATTATTCATAAATACTATAATAATAATAATAGTAATTATAATAAAGCATGAGTAATGACTTCACGTTTGAATTTAAAAACCTAATTATATGATGCAATTGCCAGGATAAACCGTGGTAAGTGTGGATTCTCAATTAGCTAATTAGCTAGTTAGCTTAGTTTACCGTTCGAGAAAAACGTGGCCGATTTCCAAGGCTTTTTGAAGTCCTTCAAACTATTCCATCCGAATCCGACGAGGAAAAACACAACCATATTTACCCTGTTTGTGTTTTTTGAACAATCGTAATTGGTATCTGAGAGAAGCTGGGCGAAAAACCGTCGAACCGTACTCCCCCGTTTGACTGCACTGGAGATAACACGTGATACCAACGGTGTGATTCTTCTTCTTCTTCTTCTTCTTCTTCTTCTTCTTCTTCTTCTTCTTCTTCTTCGGCGGATTGCAAACAATGTATTTGGCTCACATGACTTGCTAGCCTTAGCAATGGCGGCGAGCGGAGAATTATTTGTTATATTACAATTTCACAATCATAGTTTTAAGGAATTTTAAAGAATTAGCGAAACTTTTACTCTGCACATTTTACCCTGTAACTGTTTACTTTAATTTGTACAACCAGTCTATGGGTGTGTCTCAAAAACTAGGTTGTTAATGTCTCATATAGAATGTAAATATTCCACACCCATATTCAACCTCAACTAAAGAATCGCTGTTTGGTTTGTAAGACCAAATAATAAAAAACGTTGTTAACTCTCCACAGTATCAACTTTATATTTGTGAGTACAATAAATAAGGCAGTGGGTTAGTGCGTTGGTGCTCGGATCATGGGGTCACAGGTTCAAACCCCACTGCAGTCAGCATGTCGTTGTGTCCCTGGGCAAGACACTTCACCCCAAATTGCCTGGGGATTGCCCACAGTACAGTATGTAAGTCACTTTGGATAAAAGCGTCTAACAAGTGACATGTATTGTAATAATTCATAGTGTGCATCCATCATGTTACTCAACATTTTGGAATGACATCGACTGAGTAACTCCTTGCTTGTTTCTGGTCTTACTGTACCTAAAAAACAACACCAATGCAATGTTTTTAGTCTGTACCTTTTACCTGTACGTCGATTTTCACAGAGAAGTGGAAGGTGAAAATATGTCACCAATTTTGATAGCTAGAGTAGATTCAAAGTATTAGTACTAACCACAATTTTCTCTCCTGGACGCGAGAATAACGAACACAGCATAACAGTTTCCCATGTGTGCCATATAGCTAAAAACACATCAATCAAGTAAAGATTTCACTTTTTTTCTTTTCTCATTTGTTCCTCTTTTTCTTCCTTTTTTCTTCTTCCCCCTTCTTCACCTGGGTGTCTCGCAGAAGGTAAAACTATTTTTTTTTAAAAACGAATATATAGAAACACATGCTACTTGCAATGTAGAAAAGCCACCACTTGACACATAGCACTGTATTTGCGGATGTGTCTTCCAACATATATCCCTATATCATGTTACAAAGAAAAGGTTATTGTCAGAAGTGGGATTCGAACCCACGCCTCCAGAGGAGACTGCGACCTGAACGCAGCGCCTTAGACCGCTCGGCCATCCTGACCGTTAAACACCTTTTATTTGTAAAGTTAATTATCAAGTATGAAAATATAAATTCCTTCTGCTAATCCTACCTGTTTACACTTGAAATCCGAGTTTGATTGCTCTCTCAGATCAACTGACTGTGTCGTATTGATCAGCATGCTAATCTGTATACTACTTCTACATACTGTAGGCTTATTATTAACGTTTATACATTATATAGAATTTGGAGAAAGGAATAACTCACAGTCAGGATGGCCGAGCGGTCTAAGGCGCTGCGTTCAGGTCGCAGTCTCCTCTGGAGGCGTGGGTTCGAATCCCACTTCTGACAATAATATTTTCTTTGTGACGCGTCGCAAAACCCGTTTTGTTCAGCCCAGAGCCCTAGAGAGATAAGGGCTCTGGTTCAGCCGGATAATCTCCACATGTCTATCCTACTTTTATCATTTTTGAATCATAAATCTAGTCGCCAAAAGTGAAATGCTAACGTTATGCTATAAAGGAACTACAAACCAGTACAGCAGCAGGGTCGCACGACTTTAACGTCACGCCAATTTAAGATCGTCTCAACAGATTTGCACTGAAACTGCACTTTGAACACTTTAAATATATTAGCATTTTAAACTGTATACCCCGTTTATCTAGGCCCTTTTTGTTTATTTTATGTATACATGTCACACTGTGGGAAACGATATTTCGATATTTCTGGATGTGTAACACATGTAGAATTTTTTACAATTTGGTACAAATCTCAACCTGTCGTACAATGGACAGCTTCCCCCCCCCCATCTATGTATATACTCGCATTTTAGACTCTGTTACTAACTGTATATCTGTAGACTTGGTATGTCTTAAATGTCCGGTTAGGATGTATTAGAACAAAATCTAAAATGAAAATTGTAAATAAGCAATCTGTATGTAAAAAACCACCTGTATGTAAATTGTAAATAAGCCATCTATATGTCTTATATGTCTTAAATGATATGATGAATTGGAAATGGGGGACCCTGATGTAAACAAGACGAAAGTCTTTCTCTGGTCTGCATCCCCTTAACAATTGTATGTTTTGAGCTGTACTGTACTGTACCCAATATACAAGCTGTTAATAAACTTTTCAATCAATCCAATAAAGCTGACTTTGACTTCCGCGTGCTTGCATATTTTAACAACGCTTTTCATTTTAGCCACACTGAATTTAACTAGAAGTCATGGCTGTGTCAATTACCAGTCTGATATCGTTTTACAAAGATGATAAGAAGAGTGTAGATAGAGGAGAGAACCACTACAAGTCAGGACACGTAAAACAGTGCAGCCTCGACGAAGGTGTGCTTACCGGTGTTGTCAGGAGCTAGCATGAGGGACAAGGTTGATAGAGTGTCGGTGAGTAGTGATAGCAAGAGTACCGTTAACCTAGAGTTAATTTATTCACATTAATTCCCATCAACAAATCCATTTTATGTGTCACATGAAATCTTTATTAGGCAAGGCAAGTTTATTTATATAGCACTTTTCAACACAAGGCAATTCAAAGTGCTTTACCAAAAATGAAAGACATTAAGAAAATGGCATTTAAAATGAGTCATTAAAAATAAAAGCTAATAAAATAAACATTAAAAGAAAAAATACATGGATAAAAGTTACAGTGCAGTTTAAGATATGAATAGTTCAATTAAAAGCAGCGACAAAAAGAAAAGTCCTCAGCCTGGATTTAAAAGTAGTCAGAGTTGCAGCGGACCTGCAGGTTTCTGGGAGTTTGTTCCAGATATTTGGAGCATAATAACTGAACGCTGCTTCTCCATGTTTAGTTCTGACTGGGGACAGAAAGCTGACCAGTCCCTGAAGACCTGAGAGATCTGGATGGTTCATCATTTAGCAGGAGGTCAGAAATGTATTTTGGGCCTAAACCATTCAGTGCTTTATAAACCAGCAGCAGTATTTAGAAATCTATTCTTTGACACACAGGAAGCCAGTGTAAAGACTTCAGAACAGGAGTGATCCACTTTCTTAGTGTTAGTGAGGACTCGAGCAGCGGCGATCTGAATTAGCTGCAGCTTTCTAATAGATTTTTTAGTGAGACCTGTGAAGACACCATTACAGTAGTCGAGTCTACTGAAGATAAAAGGATGGACAAGGTTTTCCAAATCATGCTGTGACATTAGTCTTTTAATCCTAGATATATTCTTTAGGTGATAGTAGGCTGATTTAGTAACTGTTTTAATGTGACTGTTGAAACTCAGGTCCGAGTCCATGACTACACCTAGATTTCTGGCTTTATCTGTTGTTTTGAACATTGCAGACTGAAGCTCAGCGATAACTTTTAAACGTTCTGCCTTGGCTCCAAAAACCATTACCTCAGTTTTATCTTTGTTTAATTGGAGAAAGTTCTGACACATCCAGTCATTGATTTGTTCAATGCACTTACTCAGTGTTTGAATTGGAGCATAGTCTCCTGGTGAAATGGTTACCTAAATATGTGTGTCATCTGCATAGCTATGGTAACTTATTTTGTTGTTCTTCATTATCTGAGCCATAGCATGTAGATGTTAAAGAGAAGAGGCCCCAAGATTACAAATATTACACACCAGAAAACACAGAAATATCCATGAAATAAACATACAGTAGGCTATAAACAATTAAAGGGATAATTGGGAAGGCATTACAAATGTAAATATATTTTTAAATAATAAAACAATCCCACCACCACAGGTATCTACAGGAGAAGAGGGAATTCTCTCCACAAAATGTGAATGCCCACGTGGAGAATGGAAATGCAGTCATGCGGCTGCATTAGCCATCTTTGCCATCCACAATTTCAGCTGCACTGACACCCCCTGTCAGTGGAAGAAGCCAAAGGCAGCTAAACGTACGCATTCAGTGGAGGAGCTATTTCCTCCAATCAATAACTCATTCAACCCGCTGACAAGAGAGCCCACCTCCGAAGATCGTGACTGGCTGAGGGACAGACTCGGGGGCAGGTTCTCAGGAATGTCTTGGCTTCTCTCCCCCGAGCCAGAAGAGGAACACTACAGCTTGGAAACACTTACTGTTCCTGAAATTATCAAATCTGTTGGGCATCAGGGACCGTGAGGCAATTGTGGCAAGCATGGCATTGTCTGAGGAGCAACAGAGGGCAATTCAGGCGGCTACCACTGGTCAGCGAACCAACCCAAACTGGCATTTGTTCAGGAAAGGAAGGTTGACTGCCAGCAACTTTGGAGCTGTCCTGAGGTCAAAGCGTGTGACTGCTTCCCTTATTGCCAGGGTGCTAGGGCAACAACAGGCCCTTGATGGTGTTTTGTCTGTACAGTGGGGGACTATGAATGAATGTGAGGGCGTCAGGGCATTCACCACTGCAAACCTGACTGTCCATGAGTCAGTTTGGTGGCTCTCCCAATCAGGAGTGTTGGGGGCATCTCCAGATGGTCTGGGAGGGTCTTCCGCTGTGCTGGAGGTAAAGTGTCCCTATGGAGCCAGGGAAATGACAATTAGTGAAGCATTGCAAATCAAGGGCTTCTGTGTCAGTAAGGAAGGAGAAACATTCAGCGTGCGTGAGGAGCATCCTTACTGGCACCAAGTGCAAGGTCAGCTTCACCTCACTGCAAGAAAGAAGAAGACATTGTGAATAGTTTTTAATTTACTTGCCTTTGCAATGTTGTGGTTGTTAGAGTGTTAGGTTTCCTGTCAGCTCG